GGGATCTGCACCTCCATCTATCCGTGAGTGCAGAAACTTGTTATTGAACTGTGAGTGCAGGAAACAGTTCAATCTGAGCAGCAGAGTCAAAGATGAAGAAATAGTCACTTGGGTTTCAGAGAAGATACAGTATATGTTATTGAAATAATAATCAAAATATATTTTATAAATACTGTATATTATGTAGCACTTTTTCCTGCTCCTGTCAGATTTGGGAGAGTGCTTAATTTTTATTCAATTAAGATTTTGTAATTTTTGAAAATGAGAACATTGCCAGCATAAATAAGTAGATTCTCTTGCAAATTCTCAGAATAAATCCGAGAAGCTTATTTATGCGTGTATGATTATGGCAAATTTTAAATTTCTTTTCTTTTTCTGAATCATAGAGCCCACCGCCACCATTCTAGAGAAGCCGAAGTTGAAAACAGAAGGCATGGTAGTGACAGCTGCCCTGCGACTGGCTAGAAAAAGAAGTATAGTCAACCTGATGCGAGGGGACTGCAATGAATTTTTCCCTGCTGGAGAAGGTATTTCACTACTCACAAAATAATCACCCCCAACACATTTTTGTCAACTCATTTTTCAACGTGCACCTTATTTTTTCCGGGAAACACTAAGACCTAGGCAAGCTTGATACAAGCGAGCCGGAAGATGAGGAGTTGATCGTATACACCCGGTGCAAGCGACAGGAGCGACATCGTGGTCACAATAAGCACAAGTGTCAAGACAAAGTTGATGACGCTGACGTGAAGGTGTCCGAGTTGTCTGAGGACGAAAACGCCCCTGACATGAAACCCAACGTTCCTGAAGAGAAAAAGTGAATCAATCAGCACAAGCGCACTGCTTCGCCAAATACGAAGATTTTTTTTTTCGAAAAACGTGTTCGATTCTCTGTCATACTTTTTCAACGCTAAGTGACGATAATTCGGAATATCTTGCCCTTCGCATTCATTGCATTTGGATTTGAAATTACATTTATACTTTTTACTCGTGATGGCAACTCTATGCAGGGGGGTGGCATTTCTGAAATGATCTTGCATTTTCGGGGAAGAAATTAAAAATAATAGACATTGCAAACCCCTTTGATAATTGAGGCGGTCGATAAAAGAAATTTATCATGCGTTATTTTCACTTGACCAACATGTGGTCTTCGTTTTGCCCTTCGGGTGGTGGTAAGATAAAAAAAAAAAATTCCTGGCCACCGCCTCATTTCGGAAGGGTTCAACAAGGAATTTCATTAAAATATACTGCATCAAGTCACCGAAAAGCGTTGGCGGAGTTTTGGTGAAGCAAGGACAAAGGAGCTGTTGATGTTCAGTGATGAATTAGAATTTTATCCCGCCAGGTAATGAATTCCAAGAAATGGAATCATTTTCATCATAAATGCTAATCAAGTGAGATCCATTTCTGACACTAATTTTTCCTTAAAGGACTAATTGAATGAATCCATGAAAATAGTTCATATTCAAATCCTGGTCATGTTTATTTATTATTCTTGGAAAATGTCAGTCCAATATTGAACTGCTGACAAGTAGACTAACATGTGAGGGTGCAAAAGTACAATTGAACTTTCAGCTGATGGATTTCCTGTGATGAATTATTTGATGCACAGTAATGTTATTTTTTGTGAGTACCATGCACACTTTTTTCCTAAGAAACAGTGACCAAAAATTGAGGTTTGTGCTACACATGACTAACTTGAGTATACAATTTTTTCTTGATATATTTTTAAGGGTGGTGCATGTCATAGTTGAATCACCAGCCATAAAATCCATGGCAGTCCACATGGAAGATAAAATAAAGGCAGATAAATTTGGGACTTTCTGAATTCAACCTCCCTAATTCGAAAAACGTCCCATGTAAATTTTTTTGCAGTTCCAGTCTCAAAGAAATTTGAAATATACCTTTATAACTCATCCTTCCATCCCCAAGAATTTGAAGCAAATTTATAATAGGCCTCTTGATTATGATTCTGGGTACCCAGGATGGAGATTAGCATTAAAAATCCAACTTGATGCTTTTTGGAAGGATAATTCAGCAAATGTGCAACTGTTCACTTAGTATTTACCCAGTAATTCAATGCCATGATCCCAAATGTTAAGTTTCTTTAATGCTTAATTTTCTCCCCAGTAAAGTTGCTACTTTCCTTGACTCATAAACACCATTAGTCAAATGTTTTTCTTATGTACAGGTGGTGCCCTTAAAATTCATCCCTAAGCCATTGCCAGTTAAGGGTCAAATTGCAAAATGATCAAATTGCAAGACAATATCATTTTTGATGTTTTCTACATCAAATTTGACATTTTGAGTCTCTCTGTAGGTGGAATTGTAGGGAAAGAGGTTAAATTGCAAGTCAATGTCCCAGCAACTTCAACTTTCAAATTAATCACAGGACAGTCCAATTGAGGGACATCAAATTACAAGGTACCCCGTTCAACTCTTAGTTTGAGATTGAGACTTGAAGTGTTGAAGATGTTTGAGTGCATTTGACTTTCAATTTAGATTGAATTCACATGATGAATTAATTTTAAAAAAATTTACACTCTCTGCAACTGGAAATTTCAACCACAAGATCCCCCACAAAATGGCCATGTCTTATTCAAGATGAAAAAATGTTACTGAATTTTCATGTGCTTCAGTATAAAGATTGTACACTTCAAATTGCAGCAGACTTTTACAATGCGTACACAGGTCAAAGAAGTTTGATTTCACCAAATTATTATTATTTAATTACAAAGTAATTTAAGTAAGAAATACTAAGGAATTGAGCAAGAAAGATATCTTCAGTAATCCTCACGGAGGAAGTAATAAATTTTACTATCTAAACTAGTGAAGGACAGCAACACAAAAGGCTAGACTGTGATATGATAGAAAAAGGAAAGAAATCTACACTCTTGTCCCATGGGACAGGTTCGCCGCCCGAA